AGAAGCGGAGCGGTTTAGCAACCTTGGCTTTATTTATCATGACAGATTGGTGTCACCAATTCATTTCATTGTTTCAAATTCACCATTGTTGTTTCGGTTGCTGTGCTTGACTCGAAAATCTTTAAAAAAAGAAGTGAATCTAGGAAATATTTTAAATCGAAATAATATTTCCAAAAAAGTTGGATGTACCCTTGAAGAGATATAGCAAATCCTGTTATATATGCATTCTCCAAGCTTTCCGTGCGTATTTTAAATAAGGAATGCTCACAGATCCGGAGGCAGATTTAAACCAGCGTATTCGTAGACGTCTCACTCATCCCTCGATGTTTTTATAAGCTTCCGAAACCGAAGGATAAATTATTAAAGGTAGAATGGTAGAGTCTACGTTGTTAGCACGGACAGTGATGTTTTCCATCCTGTTCACTAAGCCTCAGATGATTTCGAAAGCTTTGTATGCCACCCTTCTCAGGCTTAGATCTGAAGATCTATCATTCATTGCGTGGACTTATCTGCTGAGATACACATTGCCAAGGTGTTTGCATTTATTCGTTTGAACGTGAGTGAGGCACTAGGAAATAATCGTTACCTAGTGATACTGTTTTATAGAGGTACAACCGGAGCTGCATCCTTACGCATGTACTGTCCTAATTAGATAGCATTAGTTTCACCTCGCTGAAGCTTAATTTTATCCACCGTTATGTTCTCGCATTTCAGTTGTTGTGGCATTATCGAACCTATTTGTATCGATAGCAATCTTTACAAAATTGTACTTGTAGAGTTGCTGCATAGCTCGTGAGGAACTTTTTTGAACATAGTAGGAATTTCCTGGTTATCTCAGGCTTTCATGACTGCTTCTATCACAAATGAGTTAAGAGCCGTTTTGGCAAAAAAAGAAAACACAGGAAGTGCGATAAGGTCTGGTCTTATGCACGCACAGTTTTTCATTGAGTTCCATTAGTTCATGAGTACGATCAATCGAGTTTTCAAAACCTCGCTTTTTCACATAGACGTACCTTCTCCATCCTGTTGAGGGTCTTAGGTGTTAAGGTTGAAGGACAAAAAGCAGTTCGTAGTTGATGGAGCAGGCATTCTAGCCGGTATACGTTAAACTAGTGTAAGTTCTTTTCAAACACGACGTAGCAACCCACTTTGATTCTACTGATTTGGATCCTTTAAATCTGACAGGTGTTGGGTGAAAAACCGATTCAACGTTTTTTATACTGACCTTCTAAATGTCATTCATCAGCTTTTTTGTTTTGTTGTTGATGCATCAAAGTTGAAAACGTTGTACCATCCTTCTTTGGTAAATCTTGAGTTGTAACTAACTGGGAAATGAAGTCTTCTCATAAAAACTTTTGTTTTTTCTATCACTATGTTTTGTAATTCGGTGTAGTTTTGGTACAGCTAATTTTCTGTTTTCTTTAGGGTCCACCAAGTGCTAGAGGGGAAGTTTCTTTACGGATTATAGAAGGAAGAAGGTAAGCAGTGTTCCTTTCAAATTATACATGCTTATGTATATATATATATATATATATATATATATATGTATATATATATGTAGTATGTACATATACATATTGTAGGAATTTTTTCGTTTTAGCGAGGACAAGCGGAACGAAAGTGCTCCTGTAGGTGTAACAATCCCCTGTGGTATTCCTCTATTCAATTCAGGAGTTGAAGCACAAGGCGGCACACCTGATTTCCAGGTGGGATATTATGGGTTCCTTCACAAGATTTAGGAGCCTATCTATGAGATTTTTTTACGCTTAAAGAAGTTACACCTTCAATTTATGTTTAATAAGATTTTTCCTAGAATTCCGTTAATTCCTCTTGAATCCGTTTCTGTTGGTTTGATTACTTCCTTACTATCAAGTCGATGTTTGCTGCTTCAGTTAATTGTTTGAATGGTTTTCTAGCCCAAATAGAGTTGGACTAGATAATAATGAATGATAACAATGGCTAGTCTTAATGAATATTTCGAATTATTTACCAACCTCGTGTAAGCTTATCAAAGGAAGAATACATATCCCCTTGGATATTTATCGGTAACCCTTTTGTATGTCCATGAAGCTAATTAGGTTCTCTCTAGATTGTTGTAGTTTTGCGACTCTGTGTTTTTAAAGGAACCTTTTTTTGTAGGAGCGATGAGGTTATAAGACTCAGTTAGATCCATGGCGGTTACTTTTACTCAAACTAGAATTCTTGTCTAAGGAACGTTTTTAAGAGGACTAGGGCAATTCCCAGTTTCTATATCAGCTCGCGTTTTTGCTTACTTCGATCCCACGTTGAAGTTTTCGTGAATCTGTCAAGGTGCTAATGGTTAGTTTTCCTACGTTACTTACTCACCATCCTTGCATTCCTAAATAGTTACCAATTTGATGATTTAAGTCTGTTGGTGGTAACGCTTATCTTAGTTGAGAATGTTAGACATCAAACTAACCAAAGAGGTAACTCGATAGTTAAGAAGCTCGACTGAGATCCTTACTCGGCATTAACCACTTCGTTGTTCGACGTGTAATATCCTTTCCATTACTGAGAAGCATTTTCTCTATGATGGTGTTGAGTTGCTATTTTTGATGTTTGAGATATAATTATGAGACTAAAAAATATCGCCGTAATGAAATATTCGTGATTTCTATTACCTCCGACTCTACGGCACAGTTATGTTTTTTAAATAAAGAGCCAGGAGGTTGTCATACTATACCCATCATCGGCAAGCATAGAATCGTAGTGCGTATATAAGGTGTAAATAAATTCATTATTTGTGAAGTGTTGAAGTATTAGTTGGTTCTGCTTAATATGCCTACTTCAGATGGCTCCATTTTTGTTCCAAGGCGGTCATGTAATTGGAGGAAATACTGCGATGCCGTTTGGTTCAGGCTCTCCAGCTGGGCCTGGATTTGGTTATGGAGGATGGGGCACAATGTACACACCACAGCAACCGCCGGTGTCGACGTCTAGCGATGAATGTCTCAAGAAAGGAGGAGGTATCACTTTAAAAAATAGTGATTTTTACTTCCATTTCTTCGTCGTTGTCTATTTAGGTGTGGAAGAAAAAGTAAAAACTTCACATGAAGCTATTGTTCCGCAGTTAAGATCAGTGTAGTAAAAGCTTAAACTAGCTATATTCACAGATATACCGCTTGCAGCTTCAGGAACTGTGCCTGCGAATGTGTTTTCAACATCACCACCGTTCTCATACCAGAATCCTATGCTTGGTGTTACAAATAGTCTATCGAATCTCTCGATAGGCGGCCATCAAATCACAAGCCCCTTACGTCCCGATCATTCATTGCAAGGTTTTTGACTCGTTTCTCCTATGTTTGGAATACTTTGATTTCATGCTTTTGACTTTAGAACAATAATAATGTGTGTTAATTTATTACTAGAGGTCTTTATCAACAAAGTTCTTTTAAAAAAAGACTTCTCTTGCAGGGACTAGATAAGTATAATATTTTTTGCTAGCAGTTTGGAGGCCAAAACTATCAAGTGCGGATGTTTGAAAACATCAATTTTGTACTTTTATATGGAATATGACACGACCAAGACGTGGTGTTAGGCCTTCTCTGTGCAGGTTGAAATTTGAGGGAAATTGAACATAAGCGTTGAACTGGGAGCTTAACTGGACTACGGTTTTGCATAATCTCGATTTGGAATTATGTTTTGCAGCATCTCGATTTTCATGCAGTTCAGTGCGGCCGTTGTTTCTTTAAAAAATCCATTAATTCTCATTCTTAAATTTTCAGCTCTTTATACAACGGTTTGTGTCAACGTTGTCTTTTCTCCTACGCAGCATACATTAGTGTTCCTAGGAAAGTATTCATGTTTAGGTGCATCATCAGCGCTCTCAAACTTGCCTGCTCCTCATATGATGTATATGCGATACAATCAATCAAATCCACAAACACCCACTCTTGGCAATAGCCCCACATTCTTTGGTAAGTTGCAATATTGCAGCTTTACCACTTTACGGCTACTAAACGATTTTGTAAACGTCGACGTAAAGCCTATGTGGTATCTTCACCAGTTTTCAGTTTTAGTAGTTTTATAAAGCTTGATAAATCCATCCAAGGATTGGTAGGACTTTTTGACTATGTAAAAATCGCCGCGCTACGGTGTCCTGTATTATATATATATTTATTTATATATTTACATATTGTGTGATATTATTTATTATGTGCAGAAAGTGCTATGAATGGTATGCCTAATGTGAACCTGGCTCCAAATGGCGGTTTACCAAACTACGGTGCTGCCCACGCTTTCTTCAATGCTCAATCTCAATCGAACAACATGTCGCCTTTTACTAGCATGCCACAACGACGGTTAGTGGACGAGAGTAACTGTAGGTATGTTGAAACACAGTCAGCGAACCATACTCAGTGAAACAAAATATGGCTTAAGAAAATATGACTAGCATTTTTTTTTCTTCATTTTCCTACATGGTCCAGTTGTATATAAGTATTACGCTGAATACTTTCTACTTTTTCCTATTAAAAACATAAAGGGACAAATTGTCTAAACAGCCATAGCCATGTCTTAGGATTAACATATTACCTTAGTAACTAGGTTTGTTTCGTCTCACAAGAGACATTGCTTGGGTAATTATTATAGGAGTTATTTGTTGGTCCTTTCACGTTAATCTAATGCAAACAAGCTACCCTTTAACGCGTTTATTTTCTGATAATCTTCTTAGCCATCTAGTTGAACAAGGGAGCCCAGTGGGGGTGCGAGAAGGACCACATCTTCGGACCAATTTGTTTTTTTTTAGCTAGAATTTGACTATGTTGAACTTCTTTCTAGGTTGTTGACCCTCTTGTTGAGTGAACCTCCGATGTACATCATAGTTTAACGTTACGGATTCTTTCCTTAACCTTGGGAACACCATGTACCTTTGAGAATGGTGACTTTTATGAGAACAATTGCATTCATTTGAAGACGGACTTTTATTGGAAGTCGCTATTTGCTGTAACACGAAATATACCCTGACTAACAACCGATCCATGATGTGTGGGAGGTTGAACAGTTATAGTTGGATATCATTTAAACTATATGTTTTCCATTTCAGAGGTGCGGCAAATAGGAGCCATATTCTTGAAGATTTTCGTAACAATCGAGCACCTCCGTTGCAAATTACTGATATCTTGTCTCATGTCGTAGACTTCGCGAAAGATCAACATGGTTCGAGGTAAGTTTTGAAGTACACTTTTTACGGTCTAGTCCAGATTGTGACGATTTCCTTTGTCACTAGACTTATCGCGAGGTTTTATTGGATTGCGAAGATCATTCAACGCATGACGGTCTACATACATTGTGTACACTTACACATGGTCGAAAATTATTTTCCCTTCAGTTTTGAACAAACATGTGGCTCATAATGGATTTTACTAATCGAAATAAAGGCCGTTGTAATCCACAAATATTTGTCAACAATATGCAATTCTAGTAATCTATAACGACAAAATTCTAATCTTATGGTGCACAGGGGCCGTTGAGGCTGGTATTTCGAACACGGAAGGGACTCAACAGTTGACATTTCGTAGAAAAGGGCAGGATTTTGTTTGCCGATATGGAGTTAATTGAAATACAAATGGATCTGAAATCGCAGGGACGTTTCAAAAAAGTTATTTATTATATCTTTTCCATGGAATGGTTTATCGCCAGTTATCAAAAAATCAGCATCGAGCATTATTCGTTCATCGCAGTATTTTATCTTCTTTGGCTTATAACTGCTTATTTCATTATACTTCATTATTATACAAACTTTAAAATTAATAAAAGGCATAAATCTAGGGAGACTGTGTGACACTAGATCAGTGTGAATTTAGTTCGGTATATTTGCTACATTTGTTATTCCTTCATAGCGAATTTCTATGAATACAGTTCTTATTCGTGGGAAGCGTTTTATTACGGTGTTTTCTGTTTAAGTTTTCGATAGTTTGATAGTTTTGTCAGATGCTTTTAGATTCATACAACAAAAGTTGGAGCGGGCTTCTGATAAAGAAAAACAGTTGTTGTTTGAAGAGGTACTTGCAAATGCTCACGTGCTTATGGTGGATGTGTTCGGGAACTATGTCATTCAGGTTGAGTACTACATTATGTTGTTTGCCATAAGGATGGCCATAGTACCACCTTGGTTTTTTTTTTCTTGCAGAAATTCTTCGAATTTGGCACACCTGAGCAAAAAGCTGCTCTCGGTCGTTCACTGAAAGGAAACGTGATGAATCTTGCGTTGCAAATGTATGGCTGTCGAGTTATTCAGAAAGCAATGGAATCGATTGATGAATCGATGCAGTTGGAAATACTTCGCGAAATGGAGGGTCATGTAAGAATTTTGATCCTCACTCATCACTGGTGCAATGGCCATGTTTTATTCCTTAAAGTTTCAAGATCGCTGTATCAGAATATTCCACCCATCATTACCCTGTAGCTTCCGTGGAGCTTAGTCTCTACTAAAACTCTTGCGTAGAAACCCTCATTTACCTTAACATGGTCGGTACTAATTATCCACTAGGGATTTGGTCCTGTGAGAATTGAATTTATTTGTCGTGGATTATACCTACTTTTTTTGTTTTTATTTCCGCCAACTTATTTCTATGGAATTATAGGTGCTGAAGTGTGTTAAAGATCAAAATGGTAATCACGTGGTACAAAAGGTTATTGAGAAGGTTAAGCCAGAGCGCCTTCAATTTATCATAAATACTTTTACAAAAAATGGCTCAGATACGGTTAGTTCAACAAGGAATTCATGTCCGTATTTCTTTGTGATCTTTACTTTTTTGCAGATTACTCAGCTTTCGACACATCCTTATGGCTGCAGGGTCATTCAGAGGGTATTGGAATATTGTTCTGAAGAACAAAAGCGGCCTGTGTTGGAAGCGTTACATGCGAACATGAGCACTTTGATAGTCGACCAGTATGGAAATTATGTCGTACAGCATGTTCTTGAACATGGAAGTAATCAAGATCGCGACCGTATAGTTCAGGAGGTAAAGTTCTTTAGGAAGGACGTTGAAAACCGATGGTTCTAAGGCGGAGCATTGGTGCTTAAGTGCTTTTATAAAGCCGACTTCCACGTAGCATTAGTATAGTAGTCAATGTCTTTTTTTTTAAATTGTTGATCTGTAGCATAGTAAACACTTTGTTAGCTCTTCAATGAAAAAGTGCTTCAAGAATTAGATGCATTGAAGGTGGCGGGCAATGTTCTACGATATGCACAACACAAATTTGCCTCGAACGTGATTGAGAAATGTTTGATCTGTGCCGGTGGTCATCATAAGACATCGCTGATAGATGAAGTTTGTGGTACTCCAAATGAGTAAGTTTCTTCAATGTTTGTCGGCTTGGATGTCATTTAGGATTGTGATGAAATCCTATTGGATCTGAAACCGCTTTCAGCCCACTGCCACCAATTTTGCTTATGATGAAAGATCAGTATGCGAACTACGTTGTGCAGAAAATGTTGGATATAGCCGACCCAGTTTATCGCAAGAAGATGATGTACGCTATAAAGCCACACATACCGGTGTTGCGAAAATATAACTACGGAAAACACATTATCAGTTAGTTGTTTCACATGATCCATGTCTTGTTCGTGAAGCTTTGATATTGTTCTATCGAGCAGTTTTTCCATTGACGATTCCTGCATTTAAACCCACAATGTGTTTCACATCTACTGCATGGATTCCAACAGTTCCTACATTCGATTCGTTTCTTTGCATCTATCATCGACGAACGTCTTTTAACTTTATGCGAGTAGGTTCGGCTGCCGGTTGAGTACATTTTTCCTTTCGTCGTTAATGTGCTCAAATGCTTGTCGAGTCGTTTCTTCTCGAACTCCTGGAATACCCGGGCTAAAGCGTTCCCACTTGGATTGCAGGGAGTGGGCTTTTCCCAGATAAATCTGGTGCGAATTTCTCGACCGTGGAGGGATGAGAAGTTTGATGAGCCTGAAGAGGGGTGGAACCACGATGGTGTTTATAATAATCGGCATCAGTACCACTGCGCTACACTCACCCTTCCTGATTTTGGTGCTGTTTACAGCGAGTTTCTTTTATGATTTCGTTAAGTTCAGCATAGTTTTGTGTGGTGAGGTATCCATGTGCGATCAATCTAGTGGTTTCTTCTAGTCTAGTCGCCCAAGCAACTTTTGAATTAAATCGTGAGTTTCTCCACGATATGTTGCATCAAACTTCAGCAGAGAGATGCACTAAATAAGACAGTTAAATAAAAGAAGGCGGAAAAACTATTGCTGATGGGTCAAGTAGGTCAAGTACACAATGCGTGTACTCCCTGGAACTTTTATCTCCGAAGTGGATCCTTATACGGCTAACACTGCTCGTGGCAAAAGCTTTGGCGTCGCTTTATGCTGCAGCCATAAAGTTATACATCGTCTCAGGGGTGTTGATGTGGATTTGCATAAAGCATTTGTGCCTTTGTTTCTTTAGTACTTACAATCAGCGCCTTTTGTCTCAACTAACCAAAACCGAGAGAATATGGTTTGGATCAAACGAATAGCAGTTTTCGCCGACACGTAGTTGTAGAACGTGTATGGTTTAGCTCAAGAACCTCGCTGGTGTTCTAATTAGTTAGAGTTTGTTGCGGTAGACGTTATTGATACCAGGCTTTTTATTCGGATGATTAGTGTTTCTCTATGTCTTCATCTATCAGCGTGAGTTATTTCAGCAAGTTTTTCTTTCAGCTAAGTTAGAGAAGTATTTCCAAAAGCAGCAGTACAATCATGCTCATCAGCATTCGCAGTACGACATGACCGGAATGCAAGTAGCAAATGTAAATCCCGCCGTAATGTAAGAACAATAACTGTTTCCTTCATTTTAAATGTTTTATGTTTATCTTGGGAAATCACAAAGAGTGCCAAAAATATGTTCGAAATATCCAGTGAGATTGCTATGTTGCTTTGAGAAGTAGCTTTCTCAGATGTTTTTCGTTGTTATGGACAACACCGTAAGGACTACTAGGTACGTTTTTCAAACGCTGGTATCCGTTTGGTATGAAATAAGTTCGTTTGGTTACTCTATAGATAAAGTTATTTTCCTGGGTATAGTGAAATTTTGTATAGATCACCAACCTTGTTTTCGTGATGCTTTGCAACATAAGATTTCACCGCATGTAATACTTTGTAGAATTGTATTTGTATATTGTAAAATGATACTAGAGTTGTCTCTAAACTCGTCCCATGATAAGTACTTCGTGGCGCTGCTGTTTTTATGTTATTTCTCTGTTTCATGTTCTGCAACATTGTTACTTTTCGTTTGTTTATAAAATATACTTGTTTGTAATTAAAACAAATTCTTTATACCGTGTACTATTATTGATATTTTAGCAATCTGCTTAGAAAGCAGTCACCTATATCACCTGTAGTGTCGTTGATCATCTAGTGACTCGAGCGGGCGCCAGTACATCTTCCATTTTTCCTTGTCGCGTGCAAGAGTAGCCCAGTGGGTTCTGCTTGCTCTAGGGACTTGTCGAGCATCATGCCTTTCTTCCAGGCTTAAAGACAGTAACAAAACCTTTGATCCTCAGAGAAGCAATTATGAAAACAAGTAGAAGTAAGAAGTAGAAAATGCACAATGTTTGCTTCGAAAAGCATCGCCTTCGTAGTCATTTAGTCGTACACAGTTCTCATTCCCTACCTGGAGACTTCGGCAACTTGCACGTGCTCTGTTACTAACTCTTACAGGACGCTATCGGGTTTCACTTTTTTCCCTCGGAATCCGAAAGAAAACTACATATTCTCTTGAGATAAATTTTTCATCCGATGTGACCTCAGATATCAAATGTATGAGTTGTTTACTTATTGTCAAGGTGTGTCTCTTCTTTCGTGCATACGAACGTTTTAAAAACTCCAAGTAGAACTCTACTACAAAATTTGAATATACGAAGAAGCGAAGTCATGGGAAAATAATACGGTTGGAAGTCAGTTTGGAAAAGAAAGCTTTGGAGTAATCCTTGTGATGGAGGTAAACACGAAATCAGCTCTGCTGCCCGAGCGAAGTAACGTAAAATTGATGTTCTTTGGGATGTAATGGAAATCAACAATAGTTATCCGTGCACGATGAAGCTGGTTTCTAGGTTATTGCCGATAATTCCTCTATTACTAGAATACTTCAAGAGTTCGGAACTTTATAGGTTTGCAGTAGAGGCTTTGCTCGATCACAACAACCAAATATTTATTTTTTTATACGGGGTCCTTTCAAAGATAGATATGTTCATGACTAAGACTTCTCAAAGATTGATAAGTTTTAGCTTTTAAAATTTTCAACGACAGTATGGCAACACCTCCAAATGGTTTACCGCCTCATCGTGGGTGGAAGGTGTTCATGCGTGTTGGGCTGCGATGTGCAGCTGGGGCATTCGTTCCGTAGGTAGGGTCTCCCAGGCTAAGGTGTCCCGCGTTTCCATCCATGCTAAGAGTAAACCAATACCAGGATCTACCACCGTCCTGGTATCAAATTCGCATGGTGGCAAATTTTCCTCTGATCCATAAAGCGGCATCTGACTGTAGTGTTGACGACTTGGGGCAGACTTAGACCACACTATCCTCGAGACTACAGTGAAACACGATGACTAAAGCAGCAATACTCCGATAACGGAGAATATACTGGGGCCTGCACAACCGGTGAGAATAGGCTATCCAAGTATCCAAGTATAGTTGCGGCTTTGTTCGATCATAAGCACCAAATATATAATTTTTATATAGGATTCTTTCAAAGTGAGATATATTATAACCGAAACTTTCGAAGCATTGGCAGATTTAGGTTCTCAAAATTTTCAGCGCTAATACGACAGCTACATACACCAACAATACATTGGAACACCCCATCATGTCCTGGTGGGTGGGATCTCATGGGTGCGTTTGCGTCCTCATTCGAAATATGTACATTGACGCAATAAAGTGAAAGAAGAGTATGCCACAACCTCCAGTAAATCAGGACTTCGTCTTCATAGAATAAGAGGAATTTTATTCTGCGAGACGATCAATTAACAAAATTCATTGCGAGCTGAGAGATGTTGATGTGAAGTTAGAAGTTGCCATCCACTATCTTCATGTCGGATGACTCCCACAGGCTTCGTCGTGCTAGTGTTGACGAAGGATTGGAGACACGGTGAGGTGCGCATAATATCGTCCATTGGGATGGTGCATGATGAATTCTCCTACCAGTTTCTGAACAGTCGTTATCGTTACACAATGAAAACAAAGAAGATGAACTCGTCAGGAACAGTCAGGTTTTAAAGCTCATTTACGGTACGAAACGAAAATCTGCTGGGGTCCGCACTAATTGTGAAAATGGGCTATCAAAGTATCCAAATACGAAAGTACGTACTTGTTAACTCACTTAGATACTTGGAGGACCCGTCACCACTGGTGGCGGCAGGCTCCAGCGCAACACCTTTTCGTTCCTCTCGCACAATCGTCGTCCATGGTCGTGGTCTCTTCTCGTTCGAACATGGCGACTTCCGTGATGCCCATTCCGAATTCCTGAAAGCATTTCCATGTGCGAATACAGATGGTTGACGTTAGCCACGAACATATCCGCCCGATATTTAGATTATCTTCGAGGACGACACTTGTATTTTCTCGGCGTCCACTCCACTGTTCTTTTCATCCATCTGTCAACTCTAACTCAAAACTGTTGAGGCGTTTTAGACGAATTTCAAAAATCCAAAAATGAACCGGAAAAACGAATGCTTCACTATCACACGTGACCTGTCACCTTATTTCAAAATGATATTTTGATCCCTGGATTGGTCTCGCTCGCCCTCACACGTGAACAGCGCGCTGGCCAGTCCCACTCATAACAGCACGGTGAGTAGCCTTTCTGATCAATATGGCGTCTATTTAAAAGTTTGATCTTCATTAGTACTGTAGCCTTTTTCCACTGGATAATTAAAGTATTCTTCTATACAATACATCCAGGCTCTAAGGAAGGCGAAATCGCCGAAACGTCAGCCATCGGCCAATAACACCAACGACAACAACAACAAAGACAACGAAGACCTAAACCAACCTCGCATTGGCTCAACGAGATCAGTTTATAAGATCATGTAAATAAATATATTGACTATTTATGCTAGGTTAATAGAAAATCGGTCTTTTGAGTTATCTAACAACTGTTTTTCTTAATATGTGACCTGTCCATGTTTCGCTAACGATGTATATTCTCCTGGATCCTAGGTATGGGATAGGTTTGGAAGATCTGAGCTGCGCATTTAGGTTAGATATTGTAAGTGCCGGTTAACTTTCACAAGGCATCATTCAGGCTCTTTATGTGTCATGCGCAGAGTTCTTTACATTGTTGACGTATGAGGCCACGTACCTACAGTATATCAGAGCGATAGGAGGACGGCTGAATCAAAAAGGTGAACGCGAGGACCTAGGTCCATTAGTTGGTCCATGGTTTGATAACGTTCAGCGATGGTAAACTTTCGAGTGATGGGGGGTGCGCAATTCATTCGACTTTACCACGTTAGAGGAGTGTGAAGGCATATCTGGTCTTCATAATGATTCGATTTCATAAATTATGGACCGCAGGTGCTCAGTGGCTAGAGTTTCAATGCAATACACAGTGAGTCGGTTACTGATTCGATCCCTTGCCTCGGGTTAACAAGCATTCCATCATTTCGAGGTCGGCAAATTGTGCCAGACTTACCCAGGAGGATAGCAGCACTGGGTTGATACATCGGCAGGCCATAGCAAGTCATTGTACAGGCCAGATACGCATCCAATCATCTTTAACGGTGCTTGATTAAGTCGAATGCTTGGGGCAACCCTCTCTCTTGGGGCAACGGAATGGTAATCGCCAAAGACTTTATCATTTATTCTTTATCTTTTATAAAAGGCTGGACTACATGTTAACATAACTCCTTCAGGGATTTTAAGAAGTCGAGGTCCGGCGAAACACTTGCTAGTTTAAAACAAAGCCAACTAGTCAAGGAAAGCGGTCAGCTAAGAATAAATTGGATAAAAACCCAGTTCGTACAAAAGCCATGATGCAAATGAAAACATGCCGAATAAATGAATTCTTAGAAAATAAAATCTTACATGTAAATATGTCCAGTGAGCATGTCAAATGGTGAACACGATAGAGCACCCAGCGTCGATTAATCCCTGAGTGCCATTCAACTTCATTAAGCATTGTAAGAGGTAATTGAATGCATATATGGCCTATACGACTCGTCGTGGCCTACCGATTCATCGAGTAAGTGCTGCTATCTCCCTAGGTAAGTGTGAAAACAACTTGCTGACACCGGAGGGATGAAAGGTTTGGTGAGTTTGGGGCGGAATCGACCCATTATGTATTACAAGACGTCTAACCACTGCGCTACACGCGCCCAGTAAATGGAGTGAGATCGAAAGAAAAAGAGAGATAATGCGGCCCGCATTTGATTCCAGCTTTTGTTTGTTTGTGAAGAATACTGATGACTAAAATAAAACCACTGGTTATGAAGCATCCCTGGCATAAACGGGGCAGTTGTCAAGGGCGCCCTGCAACACACGTGGGATCGATCCCCTTGCCCTTGACCCACCAAGCCTTCCATCCTTCCGGAGTCGGCAAATTGGTGCCAGACTTTTCTTAGAGGATAGCAGCACTAGCTCGATACATCGGCAGGCCACCGCGAGCCATTGTAAAGGGCAAATATGCATTCAATCACCTCCAAACGATGCTTAATGAAGTCGAATGCATGCCGCATCTCTTAGGGATAGATCAAAGCCGATAGCTTTATCCTTTATCCTTATCCCCTGGCAAACAAATATTCTTAGACTAGAAAACAGGCATTTGAGGTCGCCAGCACTGAAAAACGGTCAACAATGGCCGTAGGACAAAATGCCGCATTTTTCCGCTGGGCAGTGGAAGTTCTATGCATTCGATGTACGTCAGATCTTCAATCATACCACATATTAGTTGTGTCGTTCATAAAAGGACAAAAGCTGTCCTTGTTTTGTAGAAGCCAGATATGGATCCAGTCATGTTCTTCGTATTCTTCACTCATCACAGACGAGATTATCAACTGGGAAGTTCGGATCCATAGCACTAGCTTGGTGCAGAAACTTCTACATTATTTATATTTTCCACTGTACATTGGAATACACTCGAAATAAAATCTTGATTCGTCTTTCCTTAAACTAATAACTTAGTAGTTGCAGCTACAAGGACTCGCAACATCAACAATCCGTAAGACCTGAGAACTACTAACGAACACACAGTGATTAAGCAAATCAGGCAGAATTCTAGGTTAGGAGCGTAGTGGCCAGCCATCGGAAGTTGAAAGCGAACAACTGAGAGCACTTGTCGGAACTGATGTTGAGAGCACTGCAAGAGACTGGTGAAGAGCTCAGCGACTCCTCCATAGCGCACGACGGCGCGTTGCACAGCCACTGCAGCGGAAGCTGAACGAGTTGGAAAGCGAAACACAGCCCCAACCACCACATTCACTTCCCCCTTCACAAATCAACTACAACTTGTTCTCGCACATAGAGAACTACTTCGAAGAAAACATCTTGAGCAACTAAAGTACTACTGAAATTGCCTTCGAAGAAATTCATCGCTTCCAGATCATCAGAATTTTAGCATTTAGAATTAAGAATTTTACCAGGATAAATAAGTGCGTTTCCGGTTCCAAGAGCAAGAGATTCTAGCGCTTTGTATTTGGGAGGATAAAACTGTGTTCGAACCTAGTTATAACGATCTGAAATCAACGGTCTGTAAACGGAATTACTTCCGCACAAAGTCGGTGATGACCATGCTGATGCAAAATGTTTACGATGGGATTGATGGATTATGGAGTGCTTTCGTTCCTGAGAGACACTGTTCCTCACTAATCAACCCAATAAAAAAAAGGATAAAGCTATCGGCGTTGATCAATCCCTGAGAGATGCGCCATACATTCGACCTCGTTAAGCATCGTTGGAGGTGACTGAATGTTTATCTGGCCTTTACAATGACTCGCGGTGGTCTACCGATCTATCGAGCCAGTGCTACTACCCTCCAAGACATGAATGGTACCAATTGGCGACCTCGGAGGGATAGAGGGCTTGGTGAGCCTGGGCCTGGGATCGGTCGCATGTGTATGCGGCGCCTCCGACCACTGCGCTACACGCGCCATCTGTCAACTCAATAAGATCCACATTGTACGAAAACACTGTTACCCGCAGTGGACTTGTAACAAGAACACACCAGTGATCAAGATTTGATTAGCTTCCATGTGGCAATGATTTGTACGCGGGTCAGAGATTTACAATGGGGCGCAGACGTGGTCGACATAGTCCTGCGATTCGTCGTGGTCTTTATTGTCATTCGAGGTATGGCCGGTGATCCTCTGTACTATGCAGTTTCGGAAGTTTTGAAAAAAGTGTTGGCAAAGGAGCAAAGTCTGCGTAATGCTGTATATAGTAGTACTTATAAGGTGAGTTGCTTTTCCAGGTAGTTCCGTTTCACTTCCAATTTGCTATTGTTCACTTACTTGGATACTTGTATGGCCCGTCCTCATTGGTTATGCGCGCTCTCGCATAATTTCCCTTCCGATATTTGCTGCTTTAGCCATTGTAGTTCCTTGGAGTCCCAAGGACAGCCTGGCCAAAGTCGGTCCCAGGTCATCACCAGCCCAGGCAGTGGTCGCTCTTCTGGATCAGAGAGAAAGTTGCCACCGTTTGATGGTTCACTCTTAGTTGGGCTTCCTTATGGAAACGTTGGACTCCTTCTGAGCTTGGGAGACGCCGCCGGGAGAATGAATCTCCCTTTGTACATCGCAGCCCGATATCTAGGAGCATCTCCCAGCCGCGATGAGGCAGGAAATAGTTTGGAGGAATTTGCTGTTACTCGAAATATTTATTGGCTGGAGTGTTTTTACAAGAGTATAGTTCATTCTGAGATCATCGTGACAAGAAGTCTTATCTATGCATTTAAAATTGCAATTATCTAAAAGAAAAAGTCAAGTGGTTCAAATATCAAAGTCGATTGATTTAATCTGACCGTTAAGAAAACAATATGAGATGTTGCGTACATTTTTTATTTGGTAACATCTTACGATACCTATTCATGACTGTTTCTTACATTCAACCTCCTATGTGTAAAACCAAGGGCGCGTGTAGCGCACTGGTCGAAAGCGTCATGCTATACACGTGGAATCGATTCCCGCGCCCACGGCCCACCATGCCTTCCCTCCCTCCGGGGTCCGCAAATTGGTGCCAGATTTGTCTGGAAGGATAGCAGCACCGGTTTCATTTTAAGCGCCAGATATTCAGTCACCTCTATGGTACTTAATGAAGTCGAATGCATGGCGCATCCCTCAGGGATAAATCAACGGCGAGAGCTTTATCCTTCTTTTATCCATCCACGAGCACCATTAGCCACGGTGAGGTCGTATCTCTTTCTGCTAGATGTGTGTTATATCCAGTAGTAGTTGTATAAGGTTGTATGTGTGAACGCCTTGTATTGGCGAACTCTTTACCCTTCTGTGAGACCCACTTAACTCAGTGTTTAAGCACACCAGTTTCCTCATTCCCTATTACGAAGATAGAGGAACTTTTTTTTAAGTTCTCGAGTTGAACACTTGTTTATTTTTCTGTTTTGACACACTGCTTTTATTTTTCGGTACTTTGTTTGGTAGTGATTGTCTTGCTGGTTTGTCTAATTTGTTTTTTCGTCTTAAGTGAAGATTGCATAGCCCTCTCTTTTATTTTTATGCTGTTTTGACGAATCTGAACAGCGTTCTCATTTTCTTCTGTGCTACTGTGTTTCGAAAGTCCCATCCCACAGGTGCTTTTCATTCCTCCGAAGGTCGAATGGGAGTTGATGCAGTGTCACCCCCAACCGCCAACGCTGATGCACAAGAAGAGCCGAAATGTAACCCTTTTGGCACGAGGTGGAGATATATTATGAGTTGAAAGCCTTCAAATTGTGATTTGATATGAGCATCTATTCTTCGTTTAGGCTAAAACAGCATCGATTCGACATTTATCTCTAGTCACTTCTCTTTCTATTTGTATTCGATTTTAGATATTTGATAGATGAGACACGCGTATGGGACCATAATGCATGGGATAATGTTTGCTGGAGTGAAGAAATGGTGCTTCACGCCCGACAGGTAGTGGAGACTCAGAAAGAACAAGCTGTTGATGATTCGAAAGCAAGAGATTTAATTGATGAACCAGCTAAGCAGTGGGACTCATTCTACTCCAAGCATCGTAATAACTTCTTCAAAGATCGCAAGTGGCTGTTAAAGGAGTTTCCTGAACTAGACATGGACAACCGTCCTGAGGTGATTGCTTACTCCGTAATAATTTAGGCTTTTTTCATATGGCATTCTATAACGTAGTACTTGCATACTTGGATACTTGGATGGCCCATCCTCACTGATTTGCGGGCCCCAGCATTGTCTCCACTTCTCGGAGTTTTGCTGGTTTAGCCGTGGTGTTTTCCCGGAGTCCCGAGCTCAGCCTGGCCAAAGTCTGCCCCAGGTCGTCACCATCACAGGCAGTCGTCACCTTTGTGGATCAGTGGAAGATTTGCCACCATGCGACTAATTTGGTACCAGAACGGTGGTGGATCCTGGTATTGGTTTACTCTTAGCTGGGGGAGAAGGGTGGATGAATCCCGGTTGTGCACAGCCCGACACCCAGGAATACCTCCGAGCCGTGATATGACGGATAATTGTTGTGAGGTATAATGTAGTAAGAAAACAAATATAATCCACTGACAACAGCATTTTTTCCCATACCATGATCCTACTTTATTTTAAAGTTTTGCGTCATTTCATTCTGCTATTATTAGTTGCTTTGAAAATTGTGAATATGAACTTTCAGGGCTCTACGATTCGCGTTCTCGAGGTAGGATGTGGCGTTGGAAACACTTCGTATCCTTTGTTAGAATGGGATAAGTATCACCGAATGTTCCTGTACAGCTGCGACTTTTCAGCTGTTGCAGTCGATGTCCTGAAAAAGAATGAAAACTACGATCAATCTAGGATATGCGGGTTTGTCTGGGATATCACAGAGGATGCTCCGGAAGACGCTCCAGAAGATAATTCGTTGGACTATGTTATTTGTATCTACGTCATCTCTGCTATATACCCTCCAAAAGTTCGCAAAGCGATCGATAACCTCGTACGGCTTCTGAAACCTGGTGGCATGCTATTATTCAAAGACTATGGTAGATTTGATCTCACCCAACTGAGATTCAAGGAAAACCGTTATATCGGTGAAAATTTCTACTGTAGAGGTGATGGTACTCTGGTATACTTCTTCAGCAAAGATGAACTGGATCATTTACTGTTGTCTGCAGGGCTTGTTCAAAAGGTGAACGTTGTGGATAAGAGACTCATTGTCAATCGAGCGAAGCAAATCAAGATGTATAGACAGTGGTTACAACTGAAGTATTTAAAACCTCAATAAAGCTTTTATGAGAAGTCGTTATGTCTAAACCACTAATAAAATCTTTACAATAAGTTGTTGAATTACAACCACAATGATGTTGAGATGTTAGTAAAACTTAGATGGCAGGCCAGATCGAACGACGATTACTCTTTCCGGAGGCTCTCGTGTTACACACTGCACCACTGAAGTCCTTGCTTTGCCTTTCCCTCAGCTAGTTTTCTACCTAACGCTGTCATTAGCAATCACCCATCAGTGGGATTGACCTAAGGAGCAGTCGTTTACATGATTTCGAGGAAATACTTGTTTTTGGGTATGAAAAGCGCAATGGTTGGAGGAGCCGTGCAATGCACCCACAGTCGATGGCCCGACCTTGCCATGCGCATCAACCAAGTACCTCCTGTCCTCACGCAGTTGGCAGAAAAATTGACAAAAACATCAATGAATGAAATGAAATGAATTGGAACAAGAATTGCCGGATCTTATAGAGAAATAAATAATGGAATAGTGGAAAAATTTGTCTGTTTATACATAATATGCTTCCCAACGGTTTACCGCCTTATCGTGGCTGGGAAGTGTTCCTGGGTGTCGGATTGTGATATACACCGAGGAGATCCATCCTCCCGGCAAGGTCTCCCAGCTGAGAAGAAGTCCGGCGTTTCCATCAGGAAGTCCCGCTAACAGTAAACCAATACCAATACCAGGATCAAACGCCGACCACCGTCCTGGTATCAAACTTTTGGCATGGTGGCAGGTCTCTCTTTGATTTACAAGGGCAGCGACTACCTGTAGTGGTGGCTACCCTCGTAGATCAGAGGGAGACCTGCCACCATGCCAACAGTTTGATACCAGGACGGTGGTCGGCGTTTGATCCTGGTATTACCACCTGGAGCAGATTTTGGCTAGGGTAAACCTCGGTTCTCTATAGAGCCACAATGACTAACCCAGCAAAACCATGAATAGAAATTTTAATGGGGGCTGCACAACCAGTGAGGACGGCCCATCAAAGCATCCAAGCAAGTGGGTATGTAGTATGCACTAGTTTTCCACTGCTATCTTCTATTTGCTTTATTTTAGAACAAGAAGTCGCTATTACGGTTAAGTTGTGAGACATTGCGATTTCGCTCGCTGTTCGATGATTTATTGAAAGATTCGGAACTTGCCCGGATTCCGTCTGATACTGTCTTGAATGGAGACGTTAATCTAACATATGTATTGTTATACGAGTTCTTGATTGGAGCCGGTCTGGGAAGGGTGAGGCTTGTTGGATATATCCGCTTTCATTTGTTAAGAATACGGTGTAGACTTAATATTTACCCCATGGTTATGAAAATATGAAAGAACACTCTCCACTAATACATTGGGGGCAACATGAGTTATACGTGGCTCATTTCCTTTCAGTGGTTTGTTTTGTTGTGTATAGTTTTTTTGCTGCAGTTTTGTACTCATGTAGTAGCTGGTCCAACAGTGTTTGGCTAAGAAAGGCTTAATTCTGAGAGTGATCATGAATTCCACATTATCTGACCGCTCAACGGCTGCCGTTCTCATAAGCTCCAGTTTCCTTTGCCAGTAACTGGGGAAATTCTCTGGGTCGGCTATCATTGTGCAGTTAATCAACACTGAAGACCGATTCGTTTGCCGCCGACATAAGTCAGGCCTATACAACCCAATTTTAGAGCAGTGTTCTTTTATTCCGTAAGATGGATTTCGGGCATGTGTAAGAATACGAAATAACCACCACGTATTTTGTGAATGCAACTACCAAAGAATGGAAACAATGTGGCTGGATAGTGGACGAGTTAATCCCCACTATGCACGAAAACTTGGAAATGTTGATTAAAAATGGAGGCTTATAAGATTGCATGGAGCAGTTTGCTTTGGAAAAACATAGAAATTAATAGTAAGGTACACAGAGGATCTGATCTATAGAGCGAAAAGTGCACTAAAAAAAAATGGTGCCAATTTGCAGGAGGTTCGTTTAGGCCATCGTAAGTCACATACGATTCATTGCGTGGGTGGCCGGAATTTAGGCGTTGTCGCCAATAGGTTGAATAAATTAGTAATGCATTCGGCATTTTCAATGTTTTCACTCATTTTTAGGCATCAAGTCGTTTAAGAGGTGTAATTTACAAACACACCAAGACTATTCATGATCGGGTATGTGATTTTCTTGTCTCCCATTACAAATTAAGAAAAGAAAATTCAAGATAATGTCATATGTTATGGTGGTCTGTAGATTTGCGTGCATGGTTTTTCGTAGTTTTCATGTTTCTTAACACATTCTAGACGATGTGCATTGGTTTCAACTCATTCGTGGCTACTCTGGCCTGAATGAATCGATTTTGATTCACTGCGTGCGCAGCGAAAATTTGATGTTTCTTCGACGGAAATGCCGCCGGTATTTATGCGTTGTCGCGAGTACATTATATTGTCATTCTCACTCTTTACATGACAAGTGTTCAGTAGTACAAAAATAAAAGCAGAAGAAGACCATCCTATTTATTCAAATATCTTTGAGTAAGGCTGTTACGGCTGTTACGAACCTGCACACATATAACGGTAATCAGGAGAAGTCACTTGCCGGAATCGGACGTGGTGTAGCTGCTATCAAGGAGAGTAGTGAACAAAAAGGATTTGCCGGGGTCATACCTCGCTATGCTCGTATAAACACCTTGAAATGGACAACGAAAGAAGCCATCGAAAGACTTCTCTATGAAGAATGGAAGGTAAATTCTTTTGTTCACGATTATAAAAAAGTAGAGGTGACACGAGATCTCGGCATCTATTGTTTGTGACATTGTTTATCGCTGGGCGCTTTCCTTGTCATCTCCGCCTGTTTTTGTGCTTTTAAGTTGTTGACTTAGTTTAAATATCGATTTAGGTCATTTCATTGTCACCCGAGGATAATTTTGCGGAGCGGGTTAGTGATATGGCTGCTGATGAGGTAATTTAGATATATCCTCTGTATAAGTAGAACCTACCATCTACGAACATTTCCATGTAAATTATGCATCTTTCTTGTATTTGTTAGTTGGATTATATTTTTTCTAATTGTAGGTTTTCGTCGATCCACACATCGAGAATCTTTTAATATTTCCACACTCAAACGAATTTCATCGTTACTGGCTCGTGGAGCAGCGCTATCTCATTCTACAAGACAAGGTACTATCAACTTCACTTAGAGGGCGCGTGGCGCAGTGGTCGGAGGCGCCCTGAAGTGCACATAGGGTCTATTCCTGCTATTCCTGCCCCTTTGACTCACAAGCCTTCCATCCCTCCGGGGTCGGCAATTTGGTACCAGACTTGCCTTAGAGGATAGCACCGCCGGCGCGATACATCGGGAGGCCACCGCGGGTCAGATATGCATTCAATCACCTCCATACGATGCGCGATCGAATGCGTTGTGCTTTCCTCAGGGATTCATCATTGCCAAGAGCTTTATCCTTTATCATTTTACCTTCACTTTCTGTTTGCAATTGTAACTTACCAATCTTTGCAAGTCTTCTATAAAGTAACCTTAATGAAGTGTAGTTCGTCTTTATAGGCTTCTTGTCTGCCTGCTTATCTTCTTTCTCCATCACCTGATTCCCATGTTTTGGATGTTTGTGCAGCTCCTGGAATGAAAACAAGCCATGTGGCAGCGATTTTGGGAGGAACAGGGTGAGGTACTATTAGTGAATCGCTTTTAGGTATTATTTTATGAGGATTATAATCGTTAGCGCTTGCTACGATTCGTCTATGTTACACCAATTCATTTCTCGGATTTTTACAACTCTGGGAGGAACTATTAAAAATGAGACTGTCGTGTGCTTCTATCCCATTTTTTCATATTTAGAAAAATTTGGGCAATTGATCGGTCAGCAGATCGAGTGGAGACTATGGAGCAAATGTTGAAAGAATGCAATGTTGAAAACGTTTCGATATTCCACGATGACTTCCTCAAAGTAGACGTCAATGATAAGAAATTTTCCAAGGTTCTATCCTTCTTAACCACGCTTTTATTTTGTAAGTGCTGTAGAATGGGTGAGACAATTGGTATACACGAACTTCTTGAGTAGAGGACAAGGCGCCAGCACTTTCAAATGGCGGGTTTGTTGCGTTCACTGTACTTTCTAAAGATCGAATTTTATGAAATTCTGTGGTGATGTGGGTGTGTAAATTTGGTTTGGGATGCAGTTAGTTATAATTTAGGTAAGGTATGCGGTTGTTGACCCACCCTGTTCTGGATCAGGAATGGTGAAACGCATGGACGAGCTGACCGGTGGAAACGCGCCACCGGAACGCCTGTCAAAGCTTAAAAATCTGCAGGTAGTACATATTTTTTGGAGCCATCATCATGTTTTTGTTTATTTTTTTGTTCTTCTTTTGTTCCAACTTCCCAACAATCTCGCGACGAGTGATAGGTATGTCTTACCGGTTTTATGAGAGTGGCCAGTAAGACACCTATAGGTCTCGTTTCCTTTCCAGTGCTTTATTTCAACGCGAAGAACTATTTTTCTATGTCTTTTGTAGTCAATTGATAGCTTGTAAAACACAGATGTTGTGTTGGGTTTTGTTCGGTAAAAGCTGTATTTTGCCCTTAGCAGTATATAGAGAACCCTTTTCCGAACAAGTTCACTAGCCAGAAATTTGGGTGCTAATCGACTGCTATTCCGATTCTAATTGCTATAGTGAGTGATAGTTATCGGTTGGAATATGCTGGTATAAAAAATGCTGAAACAGAGACCTTTAAGTTCCAGAACACTTCCAAATGATGACAAGAACGTGTTTATGTGATGGATCATAGTTACATGCAGTAAATAGCGTTATAAATATCATTTATTCACAGAGAACGAAGTCTTTTCTACAATGCATTTATGTTCATAACCCACAAAGCCCTCTAGTTATCGAGAAATTATTGTTTAATTTCAAAAAACCGGCAACTACACCATAAAGTCTGAAAATTAGGCGTCATTCAAGTCCATCATCCCGTTAGACATCGTCGCGAGAGTGCTAAGGACGTAGTACTAAGGAATTGTTCCTAACTATTTCCTTTAGGCGATGATCCTAAAGCATGCGTTAAAGTTTCCACGCTTACAAAAAGCGGTGTACTCCACGTGTTCCATTCATGAAGAAGAAAATGAACAAGTAGTTGATGAGGTTTGATACGATCTTTATTAAAAGGAATAGGTTTGATACTATCTTTATTAAAAGGAATATCTTCCTTATAATAGCTCAGATATGTGCACTTCCGATAGATATTGGAGAGATTAGTGTACTTTGTCTGCTTGCTTTATATTTCTGTCACTGTGACAAATCTTAGCTCTATACTAGGAGGTACTTTCGTCTATAAAATAAAAACGGCAGCAAAAAGGACATAGCCTTTCAGACAAAAGTATTAATCATCGATGTATTAAACGTATGATATATTAACTCTTATATCAAAAGATCGAAATTGTGGGAACGTACTCGTTTTCGTAATCGGTAACATCTTCATTAATAACCTTTTGCACCTACCCAGTGTTTATAATGAACCAATCTTTTCAATTACTAGAAACCACTGTTCCTTCCAGCTTCCTTATATCTGTCACCATGATTTTTTGGTATAGCGATCAAAAAGGTCAGTGAGATATCTGGATTCTTGTGTTGGTTAAGTCCACAGAAGGATTGGCGGTGCAGGCAGTAACTTCACCTATCTTTACGATTGTCACTCTCCGGCGGGATCCAGAGGGATGTAGTTTTACAAAAAACAATATTTCTGAAGTAGTGCACGAGGATAGAAGCCTAATTAAAACAAATTCACTGGACGTAGAATTGCTCGCAGTTTTAGCTCGTAGCAGGGGCGCGTGTAGTACATTGCGTAAAGGCGCTCTGCAATACACATTGGATCGATCCCCGCGCTATTGAATCACTAAGCCTTCCATCTCTCCAGTTTCGGCAAATTGGTATCGAACTTGTCTGGGAGGATTTCAGCACTGACTCGATACATCGGTAGGCCACTGCGAATCATTGCAAAAGCCAGAGATGCATTCAATCACCGCTAACGATGCTTAGTGAAATTGAATGCATCGCGCGTTCCTGAGGGTTGATCAGCACCACAAGCTTTATCCTTTGTTTTATCCTTTTTAACACGTAACTTTCTGTATGGACACAATAACATCCGCTTTCAATACAGTAGGTTCCAGAATTTTTCTCCGCATTATATTCTTTCATAAGAATGGAGCGTTTGGTTGTGCTGAGTAAGGTCGAATTAAACAGCGTGCTTTTGGCATAGGAGGGGACATCATAATTTTCGGTCGAAACCGGGTGTTCCATGTATTAATGTGAGCACTGCCTGGTTCAGTCGTCCACTTCATGAGTCAAATGAGGGAGTACTATTGAGATATTCATTAATTCGCTATGGCAACCTTTCGTGAAAAGATCTGGAGAACTTTCTTCATTTGTTTCGTTATCTCGTAACCACGGTAGTTCGTGTGCTGCAAGAAGTTGGGTTTGAGCAGATGGAGTGTTCTGTCCACACTCACATATTGGAACAATTCCTTATTGGATGTGATTTTCTTTCGAATCACGATAGTTCAACGTTCCCAGGTGATCATCGCAGATAGTAGCCGTCTCCTCTCAATCGGTTTCCCTTCGGAAGTTGTTTCATAAACTACAACAGAAGCACATACTCGCTTTTATGAAACAGCTATCGTACACAAGGCCGCTTTTTTCAACAATTATGGACTTAGAGGAAACCATCAATTAGAAGACAACACTGCTATTACACTGGTTTAGTTACCAGCAACATTTCTATTACTATATTGTGGTGCTTGATCAACTGTATAGAAATTTTAGGAAAAAAAAACCTTACTAGGAGACCAAAAACGTTAGAAGAGTTGTTTCCTAGAACCATTTTATCTATTCAAAAATATTCATTTGGTATTCTAATTGACAGAAATTTTACATCTATATGGCCACACATCACATCTACTGTGCTGATCCCAGCGCTGCTTGTATTCGATTCGTTTTCATCGCATTCATCGTTCACAGGGGTCTTCCAAAATTTGGTGTTTTGTTTCTGCTGCTGCTTATGGATTTCCTCTTCTTTGTGAATATCGTTGAGTGCTGGTCGAGTCGATTCTACTTACACTCTCGGGGATAACCGATCCACGTGAACTGGAGGAGAGCGTTGGAGAAAGTGTCATACTAAAGCCTTTGCTTTCTGATCAACTGCATCACTGATCACTTCGTTGCTGCCTTCTAAACATATCATCATCATTTATTGAATAACTGGGTTTTTCGCCATGGGGTCAAATAGGCAACTGAAATTGTATACGAAGAAGACAATGCGCGGTTTGCCAGATTCCATATTTCGTTGTGGTTCTCGAAAGCAATATTTTTTCTTATGTAATTTTTGAACAAACTTTTCATGTCGGATTGATAGACGTTAATTCTTCTCTATAAATTCCGCTTCCATCTGTTTTCACATTACAGGTACTATCTGACACGTACGTGCGACAGAATTTTCGTTTGGCTTCAAGGGTACTACCAAGTTGGAAGTTTCGCGGATTAGACACCTATGAATTTAGCTCCGACTGTCTGCGAGCAGATCCTGCCGAGACACTAACGAACGGTTTCTTTGTGGCAGTTTTTGAAAGGATAGTCAAAAAAAATGTGACGGATATGCGAAAAGCCCGGAATCGGAGATATAAAAAGTGCTTTGAAAAATCTGGGGAGGCTGCAGGAACAAGGAAACGAAAAGTCGTTGTTGGCAAGAATAGTGACGAGGTTTTAGCCATTGAATCAGCGTGTAGAAAGAAAAAAAATAGGAAGCAGAGTCTAGTAAAGAATAAAGACTAGGTTTTCACTGTGCACCCATCAATATTGCTATTCGATATTTGGATCCTTACTGGGTGCTTACAAGTTTAGTTATTGAAATGTTTTGAGGAGCTCTTGCGTAAATTTTCCATTGTTTAACAATTTCCGTTGTTGTTGACTCAATAAATGCTTGATAAATTCTACTAGTTGGTTCTGTAGAGGTTAATTTCTGTCAGTTCCTTTAAGCGGTGGGAAGTGAGAAGAGGGCTCAAGGAAAATGCGACGAATGAAAAAATCGGCTTATACCCTAGAATTTCGTTCGTTGAGTCAAAATATATACTCACAGCTCTTCGCCACCTAGGCCACCGTTACGTTGTTTGAAAATTGTTTTCGAGGTCCTCCTTTCAAACTGGAGAGTTTGAGCCTCACCTCTTCCAAGTACATTTGCACATTTGCAATTACGTAATTCTTTGCATACCATCTCAATTCACCGGATATTTTGGCACATTTCACTTCTGTTTTTTTCTTTTTTTCCATGCTATTAGTTCTATAAAGTTGAAAATAGTGAGTAAGTTCGGACGATTTATTCATGAATTCAGATTTCGACGTAATCCAGGTGAAATTGCGCAGCTTCAATTTCGCATTTCGTCAGGTGAACGTTATAATCTTTCAATGCCGTATTGGTTTCAAAACGCCTGTAGGGGAGCAGAGAATCCTGTATGTGGGGAGGCTTGGGGAAACTTAATGATATCGACGATCACGACCTGGGAATCTCTTAAAACGTCTCTGAACTTCTGAAAACTGGAACTACTGGTTGCATAGGAAAGTGCACAAATATGTGAACTTTACTCCTCATGTGATTCGTTCTCTTCTTTTTTTGGTGCTAATATAATATATTGCTTTATATAATGTGCAATGATAATATTCCGTTGATCTAGTGGTTAGAATTCACGGCTTTCACCCGTAAGGCCCTGGTTCGATCCCCAGTATCTCGGAAGGCGAGTGTGGCGCAGAGGTCGGAGGCGCCGTGCTAAACACATGGGATCGATTCCCGTGTCCTCGGCCCACCAAGCCTTCCATCTCTCTGTGGTCGACAAATTGGTACCAGACCTACCTAGGGAAATTGCGGCACTATTCGATAGATCAGTAGGCTACCGCGAGTCATTGTAAAGGTCAGATATGCATTTAGTCACCTCCAACGATGCTCTGTGAAGTCAAATGCATTTCACATCCCTAAGGGATTGATCAACTCCGGGAGCTTTATCCTTTCAATAATAAATGATGTATGATGTAATATTTGATACTTTCCTAATTGTGCGCAGCAGTTGTGACTGGACCGTCAAAAGTGTTTGAAAAAATTTATTTCAACCACAATCATACTTCAGTACTTGTAATAAAAATACGTTGATGATAGCCATTTTTTTGAAATAAAATGAATTCTACTGAAAAGTCGCCTGCAGGTATCTACGATTTAGAAGCCTCTTGTGGCCGCAATGTAGTCCTTCGTGAACGTTTCCAAATAGGGCGTGATACTATCATCTAGGTACTTTGTCTTCTTTAAATACAACAGCAAGACCTGATGGATGTAGAGGTATTGGTGCTCCGTCTAAAAGTGTACTGGTTTCTGTACGTTTTTTAAAATGAAATTCCTCAATGGAAAACCCTATGGCGCAGATCAGTGAGAGAATGATTTTTACATTTGCCAAATTTTCTAACACCTTTTAACGTAAATCGAAGCTTTTGGATTCGAAATTAATAAGCTCGAAAAGTGTATACTATGCATTTGAAAACTAAGATCTTGTTTCAGCAATTACTAGCCTAAGTTATACAACAGGTACCCATGATGGCAATGTGCTTGCTAATGATTGCTAGGATAGAATTATATCAGTACGAGAACTAAACCTGGATACTGTTGTTTCGTTGCTTTCGCAATTCGACAAGATAAGTAGAAATCTCCAGCAGTGGTGCCGGCTGATGAAGAAGTTCCATCGCGTGCTGAATGAGCACGATTGATCCAGTTCGTCCGATACCAGCCGAACAATGGACGATGATTGGCGTTCTGATGAAAATTCGTCATTTCACGCATAGTATTCTCAACCAGATCGTATTAATAAGGCTCCTAGACAAAGTGTAGTTTTTTCATGCCAACAACGTTGACTATTCATCAAGATACGGGTTTTTAAAAATTTCACGTCAGTCATGTTCTGTCATAACGAAGATTTTTCTATTTAATTTTGATTGAAAGAAGGGGAAGTTGAAATATTAAAAAAAGTGTCCAGCAATGCCCACTGGATCGAGCTCCGTTTCGAGTCCTTCCTCGGTATCATAGAACCATCCATCCTTCTGGAGATCGTATTGCTACTGGACCTATTGGAGAGGAGATGAAAACTATTATTTGCTACATCAGTTGGCCACCTCAAGTCACTGTATAAACGAGAAATCCATTCCATAACCTCTACGATTCTCGGTGAAGCCGAATGCACGACACACCAAATCTATTCCACGTTGCTTAGCTCCGAGCGTAGGCTATTAAAAAAACAATGAACAGGCTACAAAATAATGGGGTAAAGAGTGCCACGGATTGTGTTTTAATATTAACTGTAATTTACTTTGCAGTCAAAGGTGTATTTGGCAAGAATTTTTCATTTGGAGACAGAACGCACGTGTTTTCCTTCAATTTCGAGAGTAGTGCAATAGGCGCGAGGTCCGCTTCAGGTACGCCTCGATCTGGCCAATCCATCCAGTGATAGTGGAGGCAAGTGTGAGTTGGGTAATTGGGGATGGACACCTCCAGTTGTCGTACCATCACTTTAATTTTCGTTTCAAATGGAAATGGAAACTGAAAGAAGCGATTTGAGGGTAGTAGTTGTAATAGAACTAACCGTAGAGCTTGCTAACACAGTAAGCATACTGAAACAGTGAGAACAGTTGGGCGCTATTCTGTGAAACAACCAGTTATAAGGAGCCCGTACGGTGCACATCCGTTGCTGGTTTTGTAGGCCAAGTCTCATCCAACGACTATTGTGTAGTCCATGTCTACCAAATTTTTCAACATGATTTGATTTATGATTACTTTCATGAACTGGGTGCAGCGGAGGGGCTGTGTGGCGCATTGATTAGAGGTGTATAGCAATACACTATGGCTCGGTCGCGGGTTCGAACCTAGACCCGTGTTTACTAAGCCGCCATTCTTCTTCGGTAGGTGATACCATACTTGTCTGAGAGAATAGTAGTACAGACGTCATACGTCGCTAGGTCACCGCAATTCATTACACGAGCCAAATACACACAATTATCTCTAAAGATGCTTGATGAAGTCGAATGCATGGCGCATCCTTCAGGGATTATTGATCAATGCCAAAAGGTTCATCCTTTTCTAAGTTAGATTGAATGCCTTCCAACGCTGACTGAACTCCCTGAAGAAATACATATGGCCCAGTATGTCGGAGCTATGGGAACTAATATATACCAAATGGGAGAAGTGGTAACAATCCTTTTTGAATGAGCAAAACTGTTGTAGTAAGCGGAAAACTGATAAAGATTTCTAGGGTGAAACTATCGGATTTATATGTTTACACCTGCTCTTTTGCCTTTACTTGAACGGTCACGTCTCCTTCGAAAGTGAGTGATGCACCTTCTTCAGTAGGAAAGTACTCGGCGCATTTTTTAGCATTCTGAAAATATCCGCCAAAGTATTTCGATGACAGCGAATCACTTATTAGCTCGTATTTATTTATAGCATTCTTGCTATATCGTTCATGGCCACACTGTTTTTTTACGTATGCTTTATTTTTGTCTATTTGACTGAGTAAGGGTGTGTGTGGCGCAGTGGTAGGAGGCGCCTTGTAATACAAATTGGATTGGTCTCCGCCCCCAAGCCTCACCAACCCTTCTATGCCTCTGGGGTTGGCAGTTTGGTACCGGGCTTGTCTGTGAGGATAGCTGCACTGGTTTGCTACATCGGTAGGTCACCGCCACTCGTTGTGAAGGCCATGTAAGCGTTCAGTCACCTCCAACGATGCTTAATGAAGTTGAACGCATGGCGCATCCCTCAGGGGATTGATTAACACCGAGAACTTTATCCGTTATTTTTTTTATCCTATTTGACTGATTAGAAGAGTGTTTCTCTAAATGATTCTAATTATCGTGATTTGATTCGATTGTTGTCTAAAGGTCTGTGAAGTCATCCGTACTACAGAGTTATTTGAGGAATTATATTATATTTGGGGATTTGAGTTCACTTACTCTACAACACAACATTCTTTTTACAAATAAATTTCTAAAAGAAGGTGTGGGAATACACATAGAACGGAACCGAGGAATGTCATTTCCACAAAAGAGTGGGACTTTTTGTGACAAATTAGGAGACAAACACAGAATATACACGATATTTATGAATTTCACCATATTTCGCTCCAGTTAGTCTGACTTATTTTTCTGTCTAGATGAGGATTCTTTACTCCTTTACATTCTTCACACGTAGCATGAAGCTGTTGTTTTGCAATCTTTCCATGATGATAAAATCAGAAAACGACTAATGGGATGCCATGTTTTAATGGTAAATGAGGATTAGAAAGTTGAAGAAGAAGAAGATAGGATCAGAGAGAATGTAAATATGAGATGTGGAAGTGAAATAGGAAGTGAGAACGTGGATGTGGGATTTCTGTGAAAGAAAGTGGATCTAGAGATAGCAAGAACGTTCACGAGAAACAGACATTTTTTAGAAGGGTTGCTACAGTATGACACATTCGTTAATGTGAGTATTTTGAACGTTTGAATTGAGGTCGACTAGCATTTCGTTACATACGAGAGACCTTAGACCAATGTTGTTTCCAAATGGATCCACTCGCAGCGTCAAAGGTTTCACTTGGTTGTTCATCACGATGTCCTTCCCACTTATCCTTCTTATGGATGTGTTTCATGCAGTGTGCAATTTTTCAATGTATACCATGAAAACCAAATCGAGGAGAGCCGTAATTGAAGTAATACGCGCGAATAGAAAACATCTTACGAATTTTTACCTCCTCTCATTCAATGGTCGCCATACACTTTCTTTACTCTCAGACACGTAATGCTGCCCTACTCGATTTAATGAAAACCGTCACTTGAAGTATCTAACCTGCTCCACAAAGTTGCACAGCATGAGAATCGCTAACGATTTCTCCTGAACCACCATATACCAAAAGTCAGGACAGGTCTTCGGTAAAGGAGCCTAAAATTGTTTGAGTAACTTAGCACTTACATGACAACGTGCCCGCGGTGGTCCGGCTAGACTCATGAGCAACCATACCTGTGTACAAATGAAGCGTTTTGGGCTGACTGGTGTCGATACGTAATTGGCGTGGATGTATGAAACTGGTCCGATTTTAATCACTACTCGATCGTTGTCCAAACATCCAACATCCTGTGCACTTATTGACTTTGCAACACGAAAACGTTTCCACAAATCGTATTAAAGATGTATGAGTGCTCGTAAAAACTGCGCTACCTTGTAACGATTTCTGCCTTGTGGGTTTTGTGCCACAAACTCAGTCATTTTCGTGAAATCGTTCATACGTTTCATAGATTTGAATTCGGCAATCAAACCATAAACACCTTTTTTCAGCGTTTCTTCGACAAACACTTTCACCTGCAAGTAAACTTATCTTTTTGTCTTTTTTTATGGTTTTTTGTTCTTTGCTAACCATGCCCTAATTGGGAGGCCTGCTTTAAAAATGATGTTACTGTTTTGAATCCTTTCCTTACTACGGTAGATTCGTGCGTTTTCATTAACTTCTCAGACATGATTCCGCAAAGTTGGCTTCTTGAAATACTCCGACGTTTGTACAGTCGAAAAATTGCGTACAGATTAAAAGTTGGCGCTTTTTCTTGACGCATAGAAAGTGATCGAAAAGTACTCTTCTCTGTAAGTACGTCGACCTTATTGTTAAACTCTCTAGTACATCTACTATAAATCTGAAACCATGTTATTTAGTCTACGTTTATGCCCAGGGAAATGCAGTGGCTGGAGGTGACCTGCTATAGTACCACGTATAGCTGCTGGTCGCCTCCGAAACCGATCATGTGAGCTTACCGTCCCTCGGCAGTAAATTCATACCAGATCTGTCTGCAAAAACTACCTCAGACCCATAGACACCTGCAGCACCCCCCTGGACAAGACCTGCGAGCGTTCTAATAGAGCCATCCTAAGGTTCTGAGGAGAACAATATCGACCGACGGTCACCAATATGCATAAAGAAGACGATATTTCAAAGCTGAGATCAAACCAACTCGTGGCATGTAAATAAAGAAATTTAGCCCATAGTTGCCTTTAGAATCAAATGTTGTATCACCTAAGCTGTTATCATTCCTTGAAAGTGGAACACAGCAAATTTAGAAACCATAGTGGTTAAGTACTTTGCGCATACTAAGGTACACTATGTAGGATAATTAGAAGTCAAACTTTTGATGAGGTTTAGAGAATAATGGCCATGTTGTCATGAGAACCATTAAGAGGAGGCTCTACTAATACAGACACTTAAGGTGACTGAAGCACACACCTAGGAGACGGAATGCGCTAGAAGACATAGTTTATTGAGTGGTCAGTTAAAGAAAAGTGCTACTACGAAAAAAGACACTCGTACCCAAGTGAAAGGGAAGAAGTAATCAATTTGTTGGTCTTTACTACTACATATTGATTTATTGATCACGACATGAGTTCTACGCCATTGGTGTTTTATACGATGTTTTCGATGACGATTTTTATATGTTCATAAAATGTTCCTGTCGAAAGTCGTGAAGTCACCGTCTCGTTTATTTATGTGACTGTAGAATATCGAAACTGTTGAACCTGCAAACGCTTCGCTGTTTTTGTTTGCTTTTGAACAGGTTCCTGAGCTGATACTAATCCCACCGAAGTGCGGGTCGACATGCTAAAAGAGTAGAACTACAGCTCTTGTTGCCACTTCGTTTACATCTCATAAAACAGAGTTGGATATTATCTTGGATTCTTATGCTTGTTTTCTAAACATGTCGTTGACATTACCATAGACGTCACATAGAAGTTGCTTTCCTACGAATCTATAAACCCGTTTCAGTGATGCCGAGTTCGCGTATGGACATAGAATAAAAGGATCCTTTCACTAGCATTAACGATTTCCTTTTCTTTCCTTTTCCATAGTGTACACATGTACTGTAGTTCACTGGCCTTACAACCGCTAATTCGAGTTTTACAGGATTGAATAAGGATAGATATAGTATTCAGATGGAAAATTAAAGGTCTTCATCATTAAGTGAGATATTACTCAAAATTCTCGACGAACAGCATGTTCTGAGACAATTCGTATGCTTCAGAACTTAATACAATTTCTAGTGAAACAATGAATGGAAGGTTCTCATTGAAGATGATTGGCTAAAGCAGAAGCTGACTCTTTTAGAGAATGAGGCTGTAGTTATGGTGGCACCACCTCTCTGTGATAACCACACAGTCCAAATTCAATCATAATGACGTGGTAAATAAAATATACCATCCTTATCGTGACCACTTACCTACGTATTACTTCAGACATAGATCAGTGATTCTCACTTCGAGGTGAATGCAGTCAACGTGTAGGTAAAGGATAAAAAAGCTCTCGGCGTTGGTGATTTCCTGAGAGGTGCGCCATGCATTCGATTTCATTAAACATCGTTTGAAGAAGATTGAATGCATGTCTGGCCTTTACAATAACTCACGGTGGCCTACCGATGTATCGAGCCAGTGCTGCTATCCTCCCAGACAAGTCTGGTACGAATTCGCCAACCTCGGAGGGATGGAAGGCTTGGTGAGCCATGGATGCAGGGATCGATTCCACATGCGTGTTGCAGGGCCCTGTTGCCCGACCACTGCTCCACACGCGCCATAGTCTTTAGATATTAAACCAAATATGAATTGCTCCATAATCACTATAACATATCAGGGCATTCATTTATATAATCACTGCTGTAATAGATGACAGCGAACATCAAGGAAACTACCTCAAAGGGCAGACAGCCTTGGAATGCAGGTAGGTTCAATGGATCTCCATAATTGAGGAACCCACATTAAACCGTCAGTCACTAGAAGATATATTCTGCGTGCCTGACTGGAAACTCTCAAAAGAGGAAAGAACTAAAAGAGTGCCTAAGGAAGCAACTGTAGAACCTGTAGAAGTTTCCACTGTTATGGACACTGACTTGGCTTCAACAATATCATTTATCTGCGAAACCGAGGTATAGAACTTTAGCAACGAAAACCTCACTATTTCTGAAATTTCGAGTTAATCCTTGTGGTCACCGTACTCTTAGATTTAGAAAGATGAATTAAGAAAATAACGTTATGTAACTTTCGATTTATGTATTCTATGTTAAAGAGGGGATAAGGTGGAAAAGAAAGGAAGTGAAGGTCAGACGCCAATCCTGAGTTAGATGTCCGAAACATATAATGACAACGACGAAGACGACAAGGTGCGGACATTATGCTGGCACTGACAAGCAATGTACACCTACACATTGTTAAGTATCATTAATCACTCTAAACTCACATAATTCATTTTGTGCAGGTAGGTTAACAGAAAAAGAGACCACGATGAGGGTTTAGTCAGGCGAAACGATAGTCGAGGTGGAAACCGGGGAATATACCGTTATCAACTAACTCATATAAGCAAATGAAGAAGGCAGAAACATCACAGATACTTCAGAGAGGCACTCACGCTTCCTGTGACGGCTTTTTCGTTTTCATTTCGGAACATTCCTCTACTGTTTTTTGTTTGGCTCCTTTAGGTCTCGTTACACGACTCGGCTTTTTCCTTGGTCTTGGAGCTCTAAACATCTCTTAAAAATACATTTCATGACACAGGCAAATCGTTCCAAGTTCAAAACACGAACGTTACATCCTCTCTTGATGTCGATGTGCTGTCAGATTTTTCTAAAAACACCTATTTTGCCAGATATCTTCAGTGCCAATCTGCCAACAATAGTCTTTAAAATCTACTTTGAGTTATTTTGTTTAAACGAAAAAAAAAACGCTGATGAATCCAAATATGTCACTATGTCTACTTAATTTTAAAGGGTGTGATTAATGTTACCCATAAAAGTCATAATCAAAACCAACCGGCTTTTGAAGAAGCCCACCTGAAGAAGAACATTAGGTCTAGTAAAATGAACACCACTGGAGGCATGAAGATTATTTATACTCATTTAAGAATTTTATCATGTTAACTTATATTATAAGCATTTTTCTTTGCTTTCCTAATCTTAACCATTTGAAGGGTGACCAACAATCTCAACGAACAAGGCTTTCGTCTACCAATCTCATCGACAGTTGGTAGTGCTAGTGTATTCACCAACATGAGCATAGTAATGAACATAGGGTTTCGTATTTAGAAAACTGACTAATCGAGCAGATACGGTTAAAACGATGCCTACTTACACTAGCTGCCGTAATCTTGGCCATCTACGCCCAATCATCAGGCTGCGACAAACAGGCTATCAGCACGTTCTGTGGAGATTTGGAGAAGTCTTGCAGAGGAGATCATACCTTCTTTGGAGTCATCATTGATAATCTAAACGCTAAGACTGGATCCAGAAGATTTCCTGAAATGCTTCATACCGGGGCCCACGAATTGAGACGGAAGAAACATGTTGAGCGACTGTCTGAATTTACTATGACAAAGAACATCCATGGTAAGTAGTAATTCCAAAAACCGTCATCTCCGTGATTGATATGTAAATCATCCGACGGAGAATATCACAACGAGATCTATATTTCGAAACCGACCTTCCCTAAACCTCGGTGTGACAAATCAATATGTATTCTTTCTTGATAAGCTTGCACGAGGTT